CTCAAATTGTAGAAAAAAATAATAATTACTCGATTATTTTTGATTGTACTCGCGACGTTTCTCGTGTTGGGCAACCTTCAATTATTATAGATTTTTTTTAAAACAAATACAGCTGAAATTCTTTCTAGTTTCTCAGCCGTCGAAAAAACCAACACTTTTTTCACCAGCTGAGACTCACTAATTATATGATCACAGAATTAGAACAGTTAGGTATATCGTTGCAAAACTGCAGAGGCCAAGGATATAATAATGGTGCCAATATGCGTGGTGAAAAAATTGGTGTCCAAAAACGTATTCTTGAAATTAATTCACTTGCTTATTTTTTACCTTGTGGGAGTCATAGTTGGAATCTCATCCTAGGAGATGCAGCATCATCTTGTGTCCAAGCAAAATCTTTTTTGGTTTGCTACAATGGTTATACACTCTGTTTGCCGGCTAAAGTCAGAGGTGGGCTATTTTAAATGCCCATGTAAAATCGTTATCTACAAAACCACTTTCTGAAACTAGATGGGAGTGCAGGGTAGCATCGGTGAGGTCCGTTACAGAAACAGAAACTTGTTTATTCAATGTAGATTATAAACAATACTTATTGCAAGTCAATTTTTTCATTTACCACTGGTTCGCAATAAAAAAACCTCTGTCCTGGGAAGAACCAGCAAGAAACCCAGCGAGACTATTTTTTTTTCGAATAATAGCTTACAATTATGTTTACAATTAACACAAGACAAATTAGAAATAGCTTGGTAGCGATCACCCTTCCCAGGGGTTATTATCATCCATAAATTCCTTAATATTATAATAACCCTTTTTATACAAACTTAGTGTTAACCTAAATACTAACTAAGCGATATATGTGATGCTTTAAAGGAATTTAGCAGAAAATACAAGAGATCGTCAGATGGTCAGTGAATGCCATTCGGTAGAAAAGGAACTAACTACCTACCAATTTGTAGTTTCACTTGTCTTATGGTATGACATTCTTTCAAAGATAAATGTTATAAGTAAAATGTGGCGAAAACATGCACTTGAGATGTGGCTATACAACACCTGGGCATTCACGAATTGGCTCGATAATTATCGAGAAAATAGTTTTCAGTCGTTCCTTTTAACAGCGACAGAAATAGCCGAGGAAAATGATATTAACAGACAGTTCAAAGAAGTCAGAAGATGACTATGAAACTATGAAAGGGAAGATGAAGCTCAGGAATTGAAAACGGAAGAAATTTTTAAAATAAACTATTTTTATGTCATTGTCGACAATGTGCGCGCAAGCTGCCATCCTAGGTTTGAGGCTGTTAAACATAATGAAAGCGTATTTGGTTTCACGTGTAATATAAAAAGATTATCATCAATCAAATGAGTCGCGTTTCTACTGCCGGTCAGTGCAGTCGCTTCATAATTATGTGGCGGCTCTAATACCGAACCTACAATATTTTCGCAGCGTAAGCATACCAACTGCGCGAAAATAATTCGAAATGGCGTGTCAACCCGAACGATCCGATACCGTCGTAGTGAACGAGTTCCTGGCCTATGTTCAACAAAAATTGGACGTCATGGACCAGGTGTCCCTGGAGCAGATACTGATGACCAGCTTCACCGAGGACGAGATCATCCAAGCGAAGAAGGTGTTAGCAGATTCAGCCGTGACCCAAATCCGTCTTATCACACGTCATAGAGATGGACGCGGTAAGAAAGACCTGCAAGACATCTTCAGACTGTTCAATGAGACTGATCCTGATGACATCCCAACTTTCGTCGCGCGTGATCTCAACAAGCTGCCTCCCGTGAGGTTCGATCACATAGACGTGACCAGATTGTTGAAAGACATCACCACGTTGAAAGCCGAAGTCACCGACCTCCGTTTCAAATTTGAAGAATCGGAACGAGCTGCAACTGAGCTGAAGAACGAAGTCACTATGTTGCGCAACATAATTGCAACATCTGCGAATTCACCGCAGAATGTAAATACAACATGCGGTAATCGTAATAGTAGTCATATTTCAACGATGATTGCGACTCCGTCACGCGATATCGTCTGTCAGCGGGTTGATGACCGTGAAACTAGGGCGACCTCGGTCGTCATTGCATCACCACCTCAGCCCTTGACTGAACCCTTGAGTTCTCAACTCCTCCGCCGAAGCCAACCTGTCAACAAGGAAAGACGTTTGCGGATGTTGCTCGAAAATCTTCGCAACCCTCATGTGGTCGAAAACAAAAGAATGTGGATGTAAAATCAGTTCCTGTGGTGACCCAAACCAAGAAAGAGAATGACGGGTTTACTCTGGTTGAGAAGAGACGCCGGTCGAGACCCGTCTGTAACCAGCGTGGGACCGCAAAAATAAACGCAAGTACAACTCTGCGTATTGTGGAGCCCACCATACAGCTCTACATCTCCCGTTTGGACAAAAGTACGTCGGGGAGACGTCCTGAGTTTCGTGGAAGAACGAAGCCGATGCCGCAAAGAGGATCCCATCTCTTTACATTTGCAGCGTTTGGAGTCCACGAACTTCAAATCCTACGTACCTGGAGTACGTACAAAATACAAAGAGACATTCCTTGCTCCCGATTTCTGGACCTCTGGGGTAGCGTTTCGCCGATACAGAGACGCGCAAAAGAAGAAAGTTCCCTAAATAGTGTTATATTTATTATTATTATATATGTTATTTTTAGGTTAAGGTATATATTGCTATGGGCCAATGTTCTTAATTTTTACGTCCTTGATGCCTGAAATAAAGTTATTGTATTGTATTAAAGGAAATTATAGTCAACTAAATCCACTGAAGTAATATGTACTTACGTACTAGAACAGCTATCTCAAACGAAAAATGTGCGCTACTCTGTGTTCGCGCGGTTGGTTTTTTTATCATAGAATAAACATAGGTAAAATGACCCGTAGGTAATAGTAATGATTGTATTGTTAAATAGGTAAATTAAATCGAGAACAATATTTAAATTTTGTCATTTATTTTGTATATTATATTTGCTTATTTAATATAATATTACATAATATTATATCACAATTACATTTTAATGATATTTTTATCTGAATATTTTAAAAGGTATCTATGTCAAATATAAAAAACATACTAAATGTATGTTTAACAAAACTTATTAATATAACATTTAAATTACAAATATATTTATTTAAATTAGAATAAGAGTCGTTCATACATGCTGGGCACGCAAGAGTTAAAATGGATGAATTACTTTGACTTTGATGTGGAAACATAACAATAAAATAAAAGAATAATAAGCAGATTCAGACATGAAAAATTTTGCCATATTATAATAACTTATATATGTTTCTACAAAAAAATTAAAATAATAATATATTCGTCCTACATTTATGTACCCACAGAACTGTCGCATCTGAACATATTAATTTCATAATTATATTCCATGACACGAGATGGCGTCTTAGGAATAATTTGTTTTATTATTAATCTATAATATTTTTTTATTAAGTATCTTATTAACCGATGAAAAGTAATTCCTTGGGTTTTACTAACATTTCTTGAATTATTTGTGCAATATCTAAGTACACACGACGGCATGTTTTTATCAAGAGATTTTTTTTAAATCAACACAACACGTGACAAAGCGCCTAGCGAGTGACTGAGTAGCTGAATGCAGTCGCCTCTAGTACGTAGTACATAATAGCTCAATGACTAAATCTAAGAAATACATTTTGACAGCTGTCAGACTTTTGCACCAAGCATGTCATCCAAAAATCTGGAACGTACAATATTCGATTCTTAAAAAAAACAATATCGATTATTTAGAGTTGGTAATCATTTACAGTTTGGTTTGCATAATACCTTTTTTGTTACCTGTACCTGTTTACGTAGAAACGGATAATTTAAAACACAAGATTTATCAGTTTCTTCGAATTTGTTGTTACTGCTTATTTCTAGGGGCAAACTTATACAAAATTTAAGATTGAAACTAGATTAAAAATAAATTTATTCAATCACTTTCAGTACAACTAGTTGAGCTGTCATTGTTTAGATTAATTATTATTTGATTTTTAATAATGCAGCCGAAATTAATGTCTCTTTTAAAGTCATCTATAATCAATTTTTTCGTTTTTTCTACTACTTTTGCCCAATCATCTTTAGTGAGATGAGCACATGCTTCAACGAATATAGAAGAAACAGTCCAAAAAGTTAAAGCCGAGACACAAAATAAGAAGACAAACACAAAATCACAAAATTACGCACATTAAGCTCTCGAAATGGCGGGAGATTGAAATTACGTAGTGGTTTTTTCAGCGCGGCCTAGTGTATGAGCTTTTTGCATACACAAATTTACGCTGAAAAAATAAAAAAATAAACTTGTTTTATTCATGGTTCATGTAATTTAAGGAATTTTAAAAATAAAAATTTAATTAAACAAATAATACATCAAAAAATTTATGATTCGATTATTTGAATATTTTTATCGATTATGTAAATATTTTTGCCGATTATTCGCATTACTATGAATTTTAATAATCCAAACACTACAGTAAGCTACATAGCGACATATCATTGAAACGACGTCAAGTAAAAAAGTTGATACTGGTTATTTTTTTAATATTTTGCTTTGTTTGAAAGATTCGAATTTAAATTAGTGATAAAAACTATACACGTTGTAATGAAATATAGATAACTTCATAATTCTTCGGATTTCCGTAAAAGGTTATATTAAATCGCGTGAGTACGCTTGTGAAAAGTTATTGCGAACGAATAATGTAAAACGTCAAAGTAGTGACAGTGAACTTTTAAAACAATGCTGCCACTTGCAAATATCCATGACAGTAGGACTGGGGTGGCCGACTTGATTAGACCCAAGATCTACTTTTTACTGAGGAAGCCCTGTGCGATCTACCAATTACATACTTCTTGAAATATTAAATGAAACAGCATAGTTTAGTACACAATTAAGTATTATTTTTTATTTTATTAAGTGGGAAAACATAAAACTGAAATTTGTTCTTAGTATCTACTTATGTACATATATTAGTGTGAGCATTGCGTCTGAGCATCTTCGGCTAAATTAGCAAAATCGGGTTTGTAGTTGGAAATTGCCAACCTTAAAGAATCCAGGGTATGAGCGTCTGTCAAGCGAGAACGGTGTTTATTTTTTGTTTGTTTTAAGTAGGAAAATGCTGACTCACATAGATATGTTGAACCAAAACACGAATGCAATTGTTCAACACATTTCTTCAAACTTGGATATTTCTCGTTGGAAACCAATGCCCAGAAATCTAGACCTAAGGATGACCTTGCTTTCAAAAATATGTCGCAGTGCGGAGTAATAATTTCGTTTTGAAGTATCACGTGGTCCATTTGAAAAGTATCTGCAAATTTTGTAGCTATTTCATAGATATCACTATGATTAATGGAATTATTAAACAGATAACTGATGAATTCCACCAACTTCTCAATCTTTTTGATATCTCTAAAGCGAATTTCGAAGTCTGATACCACTGCCTTAATTTCGGCTGTGTACTTGTCAGGAACTAAATTGTAGGTAGAATGCTTTTCCATATGATCCTTGATGTTTACAAATTGTTGAAATTGTTTCTTTTCGATGTCAACTATCATAGACGCTGTTTGACTTTGAAATGCTGCAATAGAACTCATCATTTCTGTTACTGTTTTATTCTTACCTTGTAGTTCCACATTTAATGTGCTCAGTTTTCCAGTAAAATTTCGTCCAATAGATCTCAAAATCTTTGCAAAAACTTGCTTCGACTCAACCACCTTACATCAGTGTGCAATGCCAAATCTGGTTCCTTCTCATCTAATTGCTGTTTAAAGAGCCGCCTTTGGAGAGATTTTCCTTTTATGGAATTTACAATCTTGAAAGAAATATCCATCACATGTTTAGTGTTTAGTCTCTTACTAGCCAGTACTTGTTGATGAATTATGCAGTGGTAGCTAATGAAGTCTGGAAAATCTTCGTCTTTGTGACAAAGAGCAATTAAACCATTATGAATACCTGTCATTGCAGGAGCCCCATCCGTTGTCATTGATACGAGTTTATATAAAGGTAGCCTAATCTGGCTTATATAAGCTTTGAATCCCGTGAATATATCAAGGCCACGAGTTTTTCCTTTTAAGGAAATCATACTTAGCAGTTCTTCTTTCGTCGAGAAATCTTCAAAGATCATCCGAATAAAAATAAGTAGTTGTGCAGTATCAGTGATATCTGTCGACTCGTCAAGTTGTAGCGAAAAAGCAACACAGCGGACGATATCTTTTTGTAGTTGTTCGTTTATGTTTTTACTTATCGTTTCTATACGGCGCATCACTGTATTTCGAGACAGCTGTAAACCATGAATAGCTTTTTTAATTTCGTCTTTATTTTTGAAATTCACGAACAGCGATTCTGACACTACTTCAAAGATTTCCTTGATGTATTCTCCATCGGAGAAAGGTTTGCACTTTTGAGCAATTCTGTAGCTTACTTGAAAAGAAGCTTCTGTTGCAGCTTTACTTTGCTCAATAGGCCTAGAAAACATGTTTTCTTGGACTTTTAATTGCGATTTCAATGCTAGCAATTTACTTTTTCTTATTTCGTTGTTAAGTGGAAAGTCAGCCTGATATTTACGATGCATTGTGTTAAAATGTCGCTCTAAATTTCCTTTTTTCGGTATTGCCACGGATGTATTACATATTAGGTAGCAACAGTTTTCTTTCACCATAGTAACGAAAGTAGTCCAGTTCCCACTCTTGGTGAAAGTGATAAGTTTTTGATTCCTTTGGAGTACATTTATCGGGGATCTACAAAAAATAAAATCAAAATATTAGGAACATAATTCGTAAATTAACAAAAGTAGAAATATCCTACCACTAAAATGTAAATAATTTTCTAATGATGGCACAAAATTAGCGAGTAATAATTATTTTTAAGTTACCATTTACTAGGTAAAATTCGCTAAAACCACCGAGTACCTAAAATAACAATTGTTTTATAATACTCTTTAAAAAATAGGGAGCATGCACCATTAATGCCTAGATTTATGTAATACTAGCTGCACGCCGCGGTTTGACTCGCATGATAATAATTGGTGTTCGTGATGATGATGTTAAGTAGTTTATGTGTCTATCCAGGATGTCAGCTACCTTCATACAAAAATTTCATCAAAATTGGTCCAGCCCTTTGAGCGTAAAAAAGTAACAAACATCCATACATACAAACTTTCGCGTTTATAACATTAGTAAGGATAGGCGCGAACACTTCGTGTAGTGTTTGGGAGGTCAATGACATGAACGCGGCACGTATTTCTCAATGTTCAAGTGTTAATTTGTACAAATGAATGAAGCCAAAACCACATTATAAAATGTAGAAATTACAGTTTGAGCTGTAAAATTTGTTATACCACATATTGTTCTCAACAGTTGCTATTTCACACTGTATATCTTACTTTTAAAATGAATGATAAATATCTCTTTATAAAGAAAAAATTACACTTCAATAAAATCGTAATTTCTACAGTTTCTGTTATGAATAACTTTAAATTTAGAACAAGGAAAACTTACAAAATAAAAAGTAAATAATATTTTTAAAATTTTGAAACTGTAAAAACTTACTCTTCAAATTGTAATATTATTCTTACTAACCTAAAATTTAAAGATTATGAGCTGCAATCTCTACGAATTTTTATTCGAAAGCACTTACGTTACTATTTAAACTGTAGTTTCTACATGTACTTTTATCCGTGTGTATTAACGGATTTCGATTCTTACAGTATAGGTAGGATTATTGAGAGGTTCGTTTGCAATAGTAACAATATCAAAAATATTATCTTACTTTATTTGATAAACCTTCAGAAGCATTTCTTCTTGCATTTGATGTTCCTTCAGCGTTTCTTTTCAACCACTTATCCATAGCGTACGTATATATTAGGCGCGATGCAGTCTAATCGTGATTTATAGCGGTAGTTGTCGACGAAGTAACTCCGCTGGTCTCTGTCGTCAACTAACGGATTTACAGACATCCGCCATAAGGATCTCCTAGGTGTGCGTTGTTTGTAGTTATCAGTGGCTGCAAATGACCGCCGGTACGACATACTCCGCCGAACGTTGAGTCCCGTGATTCCGTGAGGCGTCGAGGTCACCGGCCCCTAGGTGATTCTTGGCACTTTATGCGTTCCGAGCATTCTGTGCCTAGTCGCGCATTAAAGTGCCACCGTCACACTTCCCCCAACCCTTTTGTTTGCAAAAGGGGTAGGCAGTGCCCATAGTGAGGAAAGCCGCTTACTATTAACACCATCATATATAGATAGGGCCTCTTAGAGTACAACTGACAGGTTAGGTAACACCTTAGCATGTCGGGTAGGGACAAGGGGGAACCACCCCCCAAGTCAAGAGTACCACCGGATAAGAAAGGAGTGTTGGAGAGACCACTTGTAATCAGGGATCTGGCGAACCCAGAGCGCACTAGAACGGTGCCAGCGTTCTCCCATATCCCAATGAGGAAACCCGTCTCGCCGCGAAAGGAGCCCGCACCGGGCATCGCGCTCACGACGGCCGTGTCTGAGCACACGGTCAGGCAGGAACCGTCGCCCCAACAGCAGCGGGCTAAGAAAACGGCCAGACGCCACACACCACCAGAGACCGAAGCCTCCCTATTTGAGAAGAGGCAACGGATAGGCTCCCAGCTGTCATCAGATGAAGCACCATCCACATCAGAAGATGAAACATACCACCAGGTGGTGACGACGAAGAAGGTGCTTAGATCACCACCGAAGTCACCTTCTCCACCACAACCACCCCCCTCGCTCCATATCACCAGATCGAAGAAGCCAAGATTCGGCTCAGTATGAGCAGGGGGGCGAGGAATCCTACAGCTGGGGGTCAACCACCTATGCAACCCTGGCAGCATCCGCCGGCCGATCATCGCCGGTGGCAACATCCAATCCGTCCGGGCTCCCACAGGATGATGGTCAACGACCATCTACCAGCTATGCCCATATGGTAGCTGCACCAGCAGTACCACGCCCACAACCAGCGGCAGTGCCTACCGATAAGCCTGCCGACCCGGAGAAGACTAAATACCCACCTATAGTGGCTGAATGCCTACCGGACTGGACGAGGCATTTCAAGGAGCTCAACAGAATGTTGGGCCACCCTTTAAATGCCCGTCCGTTCGGGAAAGGCGTACGGTTCACGCCGCAAAGCGCCAATGAATTCCGTACAGTTCAGCGCTATATGGTGGAGCTAACCAAGGAAACACCAACGCTGTCATGGTACTGCTACACCCCGGAGGAGGACAAGCCCACTAAAATGGGCATCCGGGGTCTACCTATGGGCACGGATACCAAGGCAATAGAGGAGGCCATAAGGGCAAAGGCTTCCCCATTAAATACGTGAAGGCAATCCCACCACGTAGAGGCAGACCTGGCTGCATCTACTTTGCCCAACTAGACCACCTGAGCTTGGATCAGCTCCAGGACCTATACAACGTCGACGAGCTCCTCTTTATGAGAGGGGTCGTCATCGAGGCCTGGCAGAGAAAAGCAGGACCGGCTCAATGCCACCGATGCCAGGCCTTCGGGCACGCCTCCGGCAACTGCTTCAGGCCGGTGAGGTGTGTGCGCTGTGCCGGGGAGCACATAGCAAGCCTTTGCCCTCGGGGTAGAGAAGAGGAACCCAAATGTGCCAATTGTGGCAAAAACCACACGGCAAATGACCGCCGCTGCCCAGTCCTGAGGAGGACTGCTAGGAGGCAGGGGATTACCTCGCCGGGGCTACTCCCGGAGGACCCTAAGAAGATCCCCCAGTCGCCTAAAAGCTGTAACTATCCAGCAAGACGGGTGGGTTACCATCACAGGGAAGGGCAGGCAATCAGCCCCCCCCCCCCCCACCCGTAACACCTAAGGAAACGGTGGAACCCACAGAGATAAGGGCAACCACCGGGGCGACTCTACAGCCCCCCGCCAACCCTGCCACAGAACGGCAACCCTCTAAGAAGAGGAGGCGGGAGAGGAGTAGGAAGAAGTCACAGCCTCCTCAGGCTGTCACCTCTACCCCGACAACATCTGGACTAGTAGCCTCAGAGGCGCAGATTACTCGGGAGTCGACCAAGAGCGTGGGTAGAGTGCCAGAAAGGGCTCTACCAGAACGTAGAGCCCGCTCTACAGCTAGAGCGCGCTCTACCCATAAGCCAAGAGGGCAGGACCAGGAACATCCACACCCGAGACAATTGCCAACGCCTTCACAAAGGAAAACACCTACCACCGGCCTCGAGACAGCAGACGCAATACAACGTTTAGTTGGTATTGCCATCGAGGTCGGCACCTAAGTCCTGGCTGACATAAGAGCCGGGACGGATCCAGTCACGGCGATCATGAAGGCGCTGGCAAACCTATTAGCCCGGCATTACGGAGGAGAGTAATCTGCGCCTCCTCTATTGGAACTCGGGCGGTATACAGCAGAAGCTGCATGAACTCCGCACAGTCGCCCAGCAACAGGACTTGCACATCATTTTGCTGGGCGAGACAAAATTAAATCCCAGGACGCATATTAAGCTGCCAAATTACCACCTATACAGAAGGGACGAGGTCACCCCTCAAGGGGCCGCCTACAGAGGGACGGCGGTTCTTGTGAGGAGGGACATCGTCCACCAAGATCTGGAACTACCACCTTACCAGACTATGCGATCTATCGGCATAAGAATGGAGGCGGCGGGCGAGGAACTAAGGATCTACGCAGCATACCGCCCGCCAGGGACTCCATTCTGCTCCTCAGACATCCGGACGGTGATGGAAGGCGATACACCTACTATAATCGCCGGGGACCTAAACGCCAAACACCCGGCGTGGGGGTCCAGAGTGATCACCCCGCCGGGTCATGCACTATATGAAGACGCTGAGAGGAACAACTATGACGTTTTAGGTCCCGAAGAGCCAACCAACGTTCCGACAGACCCGAGGCAACATCCGGATGTATTAGACATCGTGCTCTCTAGGAACGTCAACTACCCAGTAGTGGTAGAGGTGCTATACGACCTGAGTTCACAGCACCTCCCGATTCTGATAACCCTTGGCACTAAGGCGGTGACTACGCCGCCCAGAGCATTCAAGACACGCATCGACTGGAGGCGCTATGCACAACACCTGCAGGCGAGACCTCCAGCCCACCAACTCATAAATACAGCGGACGACGTAGAGGCCGCTGCAACTAGAATTACCAAAAACATCCAGGAGGACCTCCACGCGGCCTCTACGATCGTCCCGATCACAGAAAGGCGTGACGATCTGCCGCGGGAAATAAGCGTGCAGATAAAGCGCAAAAGAGCACTGAGGAAGCTCTGGGCGCGTACTCGCTGCCCAAGACTAAAATCACAGCTTAACATCTTATCGGAGGAACTGTCGGTTGCAGTCCGGGCCTACAGAGGAGAGGCCTGGGAGCGGCGCATATGGAAGGCGGATGAACAAAATGCGTCGCCCTATAAACTGAACCGACAGTTAACCAAAACCAGACCTCCCGTTTGCCCGCTGACCAACAGTGCGGGCGAACGCTGCTACGATGCCAAGGGCAGAGCGGATATCCTAGGAGAGCACTTCGAGGAGCAATTTATGCCGAATCCTGCAAGTGCGGAGTTCATGGAGCTTCATGGCCATAAAGGAGAGTCGCGTACAGGAGTTCCTGTCGTCATCTGCGCCGCCTCTTGCAGGAGAGTGGTTCATTTCCCCCGCCGAACTGCGGAGGACAGTAACCTGCCTGCAACCGAGGAAGGCGCCCGGGCACGACGGGATTACCAACGCTGAACTCCAACAACTGCCCTATAAAGTCCTAGTAGAGATTGGTCGACTCTACAATGGGATACTGCGGACATCCCACTTCCCGGAGGAATGGAAAAAAGGCAAAATTATCGTCTTGCCGAAACCCGGGAAGGACAGGCGTAGAGCTGCCAGCTACAGGCCGATTACGCTATTACCGCACATAGCTAAACTGTTTGAAAGATTGCTGCTGAGACGTCTCCGTCCATGCATCCAACTTCGGGCGGAGCAGCACGGATTCAGGAGGGGTCACTCTACAGTCACACAGCTGACTAGAGTGCTGCACCTGCTTGCGGCAGAGTACAATCGTGGTCGCATATCGTTGGGCGTCTTTCTCGATATCGAGAAGGCGTTCGACCGGGTGTGGCACTCAGGATTATTTATTATACAAACTACACGAGCAGACCAGTGTCCCCCCTGCTATGTTGTGGTTAATGGCGTCTTTCCTGGAAGACAGGAAGTTCTACGTCTGCGTAGAGGACGCCGAGTCCGCAACAAGAACCATCAGTGCCGGCATCCCACAGGGCAGTTGTCTGTCTCCAGTCCTGTACGCGGCTTACACTAACGATATCCCAACATTGGCAGGCAGGCTGCAAGAATGGGAGGACGATGTTGAGCTGGCGCTATATGCGGACGATAGCGCCTATTTCACTTCGTCCAGAAGAGCCCATATAGCCACTGTCAAAATGCAGCGTCTGCTGGACCTGTTGCCACCATGGCTGAACGAGTGGAGGATGGTCGTCAACGTTGGTAAGACGACCGCTCTGCTCACTCGCCGTCTCAGAAATCTACCACCTCCGCTAACTCTCGACGGCCAGAAGATCGCGTACGAGAAGGCCGTGACATACCTCGGGTGCCGGATCGACCGGGCGCTGCGCATGACTGCGCACGTCGACTTCGTCGTCCGCAAAGCCAGATGTGCGCGGGCGATGCTTCGTCCGGTCCTGGCATCCAAGCTGCCAATAAAGACTGAAGAGTAGCGCAGTCTGTTCTACGTATTTATGTTTATATTTTTTGCCTTGCTACGATCGATTGGACTAATAGTCGCGATCGACTGGTTGGCCACCCTTGCAATAGGAGATTCATGTGATATTGATGGACATGAATTGTACGAAGAACTGAATATGTTCATCCGTGTGTATGAAGGAAACGACATTATCTGGATGCTGAAATAGATAATACAAAAAAGTTAACCGAAGTTTACCCCGCTATCGAAACAATCCTCAGAATAATTGCTACCACACCTGTTATGGTTGCGTCGCTGAAAGGAGTTTTTCGAGGCTTAAAATTATTAAAACATATTTGAGGAATTACTTTCCGCCCTTGCTATTCTTTCAAACGAAAATGACGTAGCTTATTCGTTAGATTATTGTGCTTTAATTAAAATTTTAGTCTTAGGAATGCGGTGTTTCGTATTGTGAGTGTAGAGAACCGAAGACCCTTACTACTACTTTACAAGGCATTCCATCGTAGTTCTCAGGGATAACAACGCATCTGCATTTTAATACTTAATCGAAGATAAATGTAGATGTTTAGGGGTCACATTCCATTAGGTGGACTATGTGCTTGTATGTCACCCCCATTCTATTTAAAAAATGGTACTTACGCTGAGACATTGTCGGGCATTCGTTAACCCAATAGAACGAAGTGCAGACACACTACGGCTTTATTTTCTGGTTATAATATTGTACTACTTCTTATCCCACTAACACGAGATTTTCAATACTGACTATAAGGCAGTCTCTGCTATAATGCAATTGGTAATCATAACCTTCTCAAAAATAAAACATAATCATTGATTACCATATCAAAATCTTTGCTGTAACCCATCGTCTATCTCTTTATTTTACTCTCTGATCATCTTTCAGGTATTTCCTATAGTTGCCTCTTACGACACCCATGTTACAATATGGGGTGTTATATTATTATACCAAATTTGATAAAAGTATGTTTATATTACTTCTAAAATAAAATAAAACAATTTCGCAGCAAAATATTTATTGCCACTAGTATATAATATTTTTGATCGCAAAACACATGTTTTGATCACATAATCGGTAGTTTTCTGTTATTTGTTTTGACCACTGGACAATTCCACCACATAAATGAAAGATTGTCTCGAAAAGGTCTTCAAAAATGGCAGTGGTTTAATTTTGATTATTTAGTAGTCGAGTGATTACTTTGTACTCTGTGCGAACGCGACGAAAGACCACCGAGTCTCTATGTTAGCCCCTACTCCACTTGTAGTGTGTTGGAAGACATCCTCGTGTTTCTGTAGAACGTGGTGGACTGTGGCTTGAGACACGTGGGGAAAAAGTGCACGTACATACGATACAACATAGTCGAGACTTGCTCCTTGTGGATGGACCTAAAATAATAATATATATCGTAGTCAATAAAATTTCTTAATAAAATTCTATTTGCACGTGTGCCATTCTTGTAGACACTGCAGCTATATTATGACTACAAAAAAAACTTTATTTTTTGGCTGCATCATTTGTTTAGTGACGGCTGAGCTCTCGGGTTCGAATCCACGGTCAGGCGAAATCCGTCATTAGGTTTTATTGTTAAAGAGTTCTCATTAGTAGCAGTCTGGGGTTAAGGAGTTGGCGGAGTTTCATCCCCCGTGCCTCGGAAATTCATGAGACTGTTCTCTATGCAGTCGTGTTGGAATGTCCTCCCTTCGGATTATGAGAGTGTGGGAATAGATAATGCCCTGAACCTGTATTTATGCGATGGTGTGTTCGGACTCTATAATGTTATCGAAGTTGTGCGAAGATAGTTAGTCTCTGTTGAAACCGGCCGCCATGACGGAATATTGGTCTAGAGTACATATAATGGCTGCAATACGAATAGGTCGGCTCGCCCTGGGAACACTCTCACAGAATACCGGTTAAAGAAACAGAAATTAAAACTGCTATTTAATAGGGTGAGTGTAGTGAACAGGAAAACATTTTAACAAGCATTCCATCAAGTCTCAGGGGTGACAACGCACTTGGCATCTGCATTTTAATTCCTAATCAAGGAAGATAGATGTCTATATGCCTCAGCATCCACTTACCTGTGTGTCAGTGTCACACTTATTCTAAAAAAAAAATCGAGGATGTGTGAAGCCTGCTAATGTGCATAAAGGTAGCGCGACTTAAACAAGGTCTGTGCGATGCAAAGGGACATACATACATAGACACATCAAAAAAAGTTTGTGATCAGTTTGAAAAATCGAAATCTTTTTTGTTACGGTAAATATATTATAATTTCCTCTTTTTAGATTCTTTACTTAAAAATATAGAATTAGAATACTAAACAATAAAACAAATTCAACTGTTTTTCCATATAAAAATAAATTCAATCCAAGCTTACGCTCCATTCAGCAATCTGAATTAGTCAATTTTACGGGTTTAAAATATTTTTACAAGGAAAATTGTGATTGAAAAAATGCCAAGATTATCACAAGTTTTACGAGTAAGAATCTTAACTTTGAGGGAAGAGGGATATTCCACGAGAGAAATAGCACGCAGAGTTGCTGTATCCCAATCCTGCGTCGTGGCCACGTTGCAGAGGTAACACGGCAATTAATGCAATGAATAATTTAGCTGACCGATCCCGCAGCTGTCGACAAACTGTTATAACTGTTGCGCAGAAGCGCTATATGAGATTGCTGGCAGCCCGTGACGCAACAAACAACGCCACTACAATAAAAGCGGAAGTGCGGGCCGCCTCTGGATTGAATTAGCACTCAGACCATTCGGAATTGCTTACACCAGGCTGGACTACGAGCACGGAGGTCTTAGCAAGCACCTCTGAATTCATGGCGACCTCAGCGACGGAGATTGCAGCGGTCTAGGCTTTGGTAAAATGAAGAAGATGAGGAGGAAAACATTTGACAAAATTGTCTCTTCGTTTACGGATTTTATCGCGTTTATTTTTGCTTTTAGTTACTTTTATTTTTAATTCCCGACGTTTCGGGCGCTTTCCAGCACCCATGGTCACGGGGGACTGAGATGACTGACGTCCTGATGTCATTGTTAAACCCGGAGTACCTTCAGCTTTTTTTTAATTATTGTTTATGGTCCGATCTATGCAAAATGAACTGACTATGTCTTGAGGTCTTGCAGTGGTATGCTTGGGTTTAGTTTTAATTTTATTGATTATAGGATCCCAAGCAGGTGGTAGTACCCAGCCTCCTTCTCTATTGAAATTAGGATGTTATTTAATTTCAATAGCCTCACGTATCATCCTTGGTAGGAATCGGTGTTCTTTCGCGAGGATTTGTTGTCTATCAACCATTACATCAGATTTGATAGACCACAAATCCTCGCGAAAGAACACCGAAAGCTGGAAAGCGCCCGAAACGTCGGGAATTAAAAATAAAAGTAATTAAAAGCAAAAATAAACGCGATAAAATCCGTAAAAGTAGTTTTAATCATGTGTAGTGTTCGCGTAAATATAAGAAATCATTATGTCTCTTCGTTGACGAATCACGAATAACCGACGTGTCCGTGTCTGGAGAAGACGTGAAGACTGAAAGGCAAAGAAATGTCACTCAAACCAGCAATTCAGAAACTCAGCAAGGCGGGATGTCAGTGTCCTTTTGAGGTGTAATTATGATTGGAGCTAGAACGCCTCTGATCCCGTATCAAGGCTCCATGACAGCCGATAGGTACAAAGCAGTTGCTATTGATAGAATTATCAAACCAGTCCGAGCAAACTATGAGCACCAATTCGTACTGGTCGATGATAATGCGTCCGCACATCGAGCTCAACGAGTCAATGCTGCTCTCCGAGAATACGCCCACAAGGTTAGACTGGCCTGCCGGATCGCCTGACTTAGATCTAATAGAGCAAGCGCGGGATGCTCTTAAGCGAGCTGTTTGGAACCGTCAGTCACCTCCTCAGGCAGTGCCAGAGATCAGGGAAGCCGCTATTCAAGAATGAGACAAGTTACCGCAAGAACTGCTGGATAACTTGATCCTCAACATGTCCAGGGGGATCTCCAAATGTGTTTGAGCCAGAGGAGGAATTATATTATATTAAATAAAAACCTTCTATTAATAAATTGTTATGTAAGTTTGGTTAATATTTTTCTTTCCATTAAATTTCTGTTAAAATTACATTAAATTTAAATTACTCAATTTGGTTACGCGGAAAAACGAGTACTCTCGCATTTTATTTAGTTGGTTAGTAGCTGGCCGGTGCCTCCCTCTATCCCATCCGCGCATTCCTTGCGCACACACCGAAAGGGGATAGGGGGGGGCTGGAATATGTCGTCATCTGACGGCCAATAAGAAACGCACCCCGCCCAGATGGAAGGTGGAGATGGCCGACAAATATAATGACGTCCGCTGCCGCCGCTCGCTCTCTTACAACGCAGTTCAAGAACAACGCTTAATGTGATTGCACTTGTGGCAGTTAGCCACAGGACAACCTAGTAGTAACCGCTTCGCATAGTGCAATTTACTGATACGTCGCGCACCTCTTACAACTCAGTCGCAACACAAGGGTCATCGTCCTCGAGGCCGCTGAAGCAGTAAGAAGCCCACACCGGTAAGTGCTTCCTTTTAATTCATCTTGACCTGTTTTTTTATTCTCTCTTTACTGTCTTTTTTCCTAACAGCTCAGATTTAATTCCCGTGTAAGGCACCGGCTAGATATAATAGATTAGGTAATATCAAGTGCATTGCCCAAGCCTGCCACGTGCCACATCAGCCATCTTGATTCGGTTATATTGGGATCACGCACATACAGTCCACATATAGTTAATCTCACATAATTGATTTTGCCCGACCCGGAAATCGAACCCGAGACCTTATAGCTCCACCACAATTTTTGTTATTAAAAATAAAAGAGCGTTTTATTTTTTAATTTCAAATAGAGTATTTCTATTTTTTTTAAAGATATAATGTAAACACTTTTTCTCGATAAAGTTAAATAAAAAAAATACATCAACTTTTGCTAGTGATCACAAACTCTTTTGATATGTGTACGTACATATATAAGTTATTACTTTACCTGTAAAAATGCTGACATGACACCGATAAGTTTGGCCTCACCGCAACCAGCTTCCACAGTTTCCTTCAGAAGTACCTTGGAATCTAGATCATCAGGCAGAGGCGGTGGTGGGGGTGGCTTAGCAACCGGGGCTGGCAGTGGTGGCTGTGGGAATTACAATTTCGTTACAAAGAATATAATAAAATTATATTCTTCACACACTCTGCCCATTCTGACGTGTTATATTTTACAAGAGGTTACTTCCGTAACTTTGTGAAACAAAGTTGGGCTTCTATTCACTTTAAGTCCCATATTTTAAGATTTTGACAGTTATTGTCATATACTACAAATATCAAACCTCACACCAAAGATGGGGAACAGGACCATATGTCTAGCTATAAACTGTTACGAAGAGGAACGATTTGATCTGACAGACTGGACTCGGCCGCAGAGTAAAACCGAGAAGAAATGTCACCGTCACAGTCACCTTTAACATCCTCGTTTAATTTATATTCGTTAATGTTTTGAAACCTATTATTATTAGTACATACATTCTTCACATAACTTTTATTAAAAATATATAAACCTCTGTCGAAAATTAATTTCACCAAAAAAAAGAAGCTTTCCTTCTTTTTGCGTCCCCCGACGACATTTTATAGATCATACGTTAGCTTACAAATTGAGAACAAACATTAGAAATTTAATGAACATATCCAAAAAACCTACCTCACCAACCTCTTTCGTATCCATAGCATTCTGTAGGGCTTGCCGTGCAATAAACTGAGCTTTGAATTTCTCCATCTCCTTTTGAGCTTCACTCTTTATAACATCAACTTCGTTTTTATATGCTTCTAATTGAAATTGGAGACTCTCGTTTTCTCTCTGAAGGTTAGACATTATGTGCAAATTATTAAACTGTAAAAACTAAATTTTGTTATTTTTCGTAATTAGTAATTATATAATTTGTTTAACCCCGTAATATTAAGATTAGAAATTAAATGCAATTCCTTGTTTAAATTCTTACTACCGAATGGTTCATTGTCGATACAATTCATTGAATAATACTAACTTATGGACGCGAGACGAAAAAAATCTACGCACGTAAGGACCAAGGAAGACCGCGACATCGGTTGCGCACTAAATATTTACCAGTCAGTAACGAAACATTTGTTGCAAAAAAATTTCACTAGTTTAATTGATACACCAGAACTTGACATGCTGGTCCTAAAATCTACTACAGAACCGGAAGTTAAAGTTATTATTGTTAATATAAAGACCAATGCAGAGGGACACGATGGCATTAGTATAGAAATGATTAAGCTGACTCTAGACATGACACTTTCTATCATTTTACAAGGATATTGAATAAGTCAATTGAAAAAATACTTTTCCATCCTATTGGAAAATGAGCACTGGCAAGGCCCATACCTAAAAAAATCTCATACCGAAACAAAAGACTTGCGTCCTATTTAAATTTTGCCAGTAATATCTCAAGTTTTAGAAAAAGTAGTGTTAAATCAAGTGCTGAACTACTTAGAAACTAAAGATATAATACCAGTTAGGCTTTCGCAGGGGTCATGGTACAGAAACTGCACTTCTACATGTCAAAGACGACCTGACGGAGGCTTCGAATATGGGGATACTGAGCATTTTACTGTTCGCAACCTGAATTATTGTTAGATAAACTAAGCTGCTATCGCTTCTCAAAGAATACAAGTCTTTGCCATTTTTCGCTAATAGAGAACAAATAGTAGAAATTGACGATACAAAAAATACGGTCGTGTCTCAAGTCATTTCACGCCCTTGTTCCCACATCACATACAGCAGATCTACCTAGGCATAACATTTTGTAAACTATATGCTGATGATACACAACTGTACGACTCGTTTGACAGAACAATGATCGAGAAGCTACTGAAAATATTAATGCCGACCTGAGCAGTATCCACACATAGTCTGAAAATAATTCTTTGGTTCTCAACGCAGCTAAATCTTAAATGCTGGTCTTAGGCACTAAATGCCAAATAAAAAATGTATTAGACGGTGGAGGAAAAGTAAAAGTAAAAAATGTATTATACGGTGGAGGAAAAGTAAAAGTAAAAAATGTTGTTCTAGAACACTAACCACTGCACGTAATCTCGGCTTGATTTAAGATGGAGAACAAAAGTTTATTGGTCACGTAAATAACAAAATAGAACAGCATTTTCAAGCTGAAAACGTTATACATAATCATATCTTAAATCTTTGGAGGATTTACGGATACTTTTATGTGATACTCTGCTGCTATCTCAATTCAATTACTGCAGTTCCACCTATCGTCCAAGACTAACGTTTAACACAGAGAGAGCAATCCAAAGAGTGAAAAATGCCAAAAATGTTGTTCTAGAACACTAACCACTGCACGTAATCTCGGCTTGATTTAAGATGGAGAACAAAAGTTTATTGGTCACGTAAATAACAAAATCAGAACAGCATTTTTCAAGCTGAAAAGGTTATACATAATCATATCTTAAATCTTTGGAGGATTTACGGATACTTTTATGTGATACTCTGCTGCTATCTCAATTCAATTACTGCAGTTCCACCTATCGTCCAAGACTAAAGTTTAACACAGAGAGAGCAATCCAAAGAGTGAAAAATGCCTATGTTCGTTTTTGTTTTAATGTGCCCGAAAGAGAATACATCACCCAGTATTTAAATAAAAAATGCTTACTTAACATGAGTGCTAGAATGGAGCTACAGTACGCTTGTACGGTGCATAGGTAATATAGAGCAAGAAGCCTGAGTATCTATTTGAAAAACTCCTATGGATCAAAAATATTTCACATAGAAGCCTTCGTACGAACTCATTAAACCTGTTGAGTATGTCAAAACATAAAACAACGCGGTACAGAGGATGTTTCAAATTTGTTGCAGCTAGAATACGAAACGACTTGCACTGTCTTGGGAGAAATAAAATGAGTACGGAAAGCTTCAAAGCTAAATATAAATCAGCATTGCTAAAGTGGCAAATTGCTGCAGAAAATTTGAAACATACCTACTGGAAATACATAAACTTAAGACACTTCTTTCTATTTTAGTATAATATAACCCTTAAAAACCATCCCCATGTATAAACTGAACAATTACACACACACAAGCGCGCGCGCGCGCACACGCATACACGCACCCACGCACACACGCGCGCACCACGCACACACGCGCACACATGCGCACGCACGCACGCACGCACGCACGCACGCACGCACGCACGCACGCACACACACACACACACACACACACACACACACACACACACACACACTCACACACACTCACACAAACACACACACACACACACACTCACCACACACACACACACACACACACACACACAAACACACGCGCGCGCACACACGCACACACACACACACGCGCACACACACGCGCGCACACGCGCACACACGCGCGCACACGAAGCAAAAGCTGAGTCCTCCGTTTGCCTAAATTTTATTAGGATTAAGTACTTAGTTTATATGTAAACATGTTTTTAAATGTGGCAATAAAGTGATATTTATTTATTTATTATTTATATATATATATATAACTTTCATCAGTCACAACACGAACGCGAAGGATTAAAATAACGTATAAATAAAACCTACGTAAGTCGATTTCGATTTTTTTTTGACCCGCCATAGGGTATTCCATGTGCAGTGTTCACTGCTCATAAAGCTTATTTATATTTTTACTCATAAGATTATTTGTCGAATTGTAAAAAGTAAATCGCAAGACTCTCCAATGAACTAATACTAGTTTTTACGGAATTTATCGCGTATATTTAACTTTTTAAATACCCGACGTTTCGAGAGATTTACAGCACAGGAGGAAGACAAAACCAACGATCAGTTTTCGTTCATAATTTATTTTTGTTTTACTAAAACCTGTGTCCATTGATCATTTCTTATGGCCACGACTAGGGCTTGCAAATATTCGAAAATTTTTGGTATTCGAATATTCGACTTTTTTTCGGGTATTATTCGAATTATTCGAATAATATTCGAATAGTTAAAGAAAAAACAAAAGCTGTAATAATAATCATATTTTATTGCCATTCTCTTACTTAGAGTCTAATATCATTGAATCAAAACAAAATCATAGTTATGAATTAAAGAACTGCTTGGAATTTCACTGTTATGGCCCTAATACAGTCCTATAAAAAGTTGGTGCTTAACAAGACGACCACAACACAATTACACAACAGTCTTATAAATCGAGTTCTGAGTATTGTTATAATATTTATATAATAATTAAATCATTACAAACATATATAATTTACTTACAAAATTTAAAAGATTTAAAAGAAAGATTTTCAACTGTGATAGAATACAAATAATTAATCAGTATTAGAATTTATGAGATCAGAATCAGATCAATGCCACATTGTACAAAAGTAAAAATACGTTTTAATCTTATCATTTAACTTTGGCTTATTCTTACACTTACACGTACAACCGTACCTTCAAGGCAAAAGTGAATAGGTATCTCACCACTGCTTTCTTCCAAGCATGATTGTCGTCAAGTGCTAGCAATATTCTACAGTAAAAAAAAATCTTTAACGTTCTCCTTGTAAGTGGGACCTAAGGAAACATAGCGCATTTAGGGAATCATCTTTTAAAGCACATCTTAAATGGTTGCAAATGTATTTTATCGATGAAAACACCATATCACACTATACTTGTCTACAAGTAACATACACATGAGAAAGTCATATGCTCGGCTCAAATGAACTTGTCTAGGACCTCCTCTGTCAAATAGCGCCATCTGCATTCGCACTGACGTTTCTAACTTTTCTCTATCTGATAAATTTGCTATAGACCTCAAAGGAGTTGCGGAATTAGTGTCATATATCGCTTTTTGTAACTCTTCTATAAAACTTATTACAAATGTTACCTAGCGTGACTCGTTTTGTTGCTGATGCTGGCGTTGCTGCTGCTGAAGTTGAACCAAGGTTATGTCATCTTCGTCATTATCAGAGTTCTGTCTTTTAGAAAAATATCTGTCGTTAATTTCAGTTATTACTTCTGTAATAATGTTATTGGCTGGTAATGGAAAGATAGACGAAGGTGGCTCTGCGTAATATTTACTGGGATTGTGGAGATATTTTAATGTGCAGATTAAATTTGGTAGTCGTCTCTGAGCAATTATTTTTTTCAGAGCTTCAAGTAGCCTGTCACTGATAAATCAGTTCGCCTTTTCAAGTTTTGCAACCATAAATTGAAGGGCTGTTTCCGCAGTAAGCAGATTTGCATTTTCTTGGCAAAGCGCCTCTACTGTTGCCTTTACAATATTCAAAGAAGTGGCCAATTCTTGCAGTAAAGCCAGCTCACCTGAACTAAACGTGGTATCTTCAAAATAGGGTCTCTTAATGCCAAAAATCTTGTGATAATATCGGCTAAAATGCTCCACCTGGTTTTAAAGTCTAAGATCAACCATTGAAGATAAATATCGGGCAACTATTTTCTGGTGGGTGAATTCCCAAAAAAATAAACTATCTTTCGCACTTTCTCTATTACGTTTTTAAATTCACATCCCCGTATAAATGTAGGTCTCGGCCTCTGTTCAGATGTTGCTCAACTACAAATTCTTCTCCCTCACTATCGCTGTTAGAGTAAGTATCCTCATTTTTGTCCTCTTTGCTACCTTCAGATTGTTCTCCTTCTTCTTCTTGCTTATCTTGATTCCTTTTGTAAATAGCATCTAGCATTGCACATTGGATACCATGTGCAAAACATAATTGATGATACAAAGGCACTTGTCGACTTATACTCACTCTCTCATGCACACATCACTCTTACAGTCACTACGAATGCTATGTCCTCTTCCAAAGATAGATCTTAGGATGCTAACTTGCCCTTCAAAATATTAAGTAATTCCTTTTCTGGATAGTAGATGAGTACTCGTAGACAAGTTGGCCGTTGGCATACAAAACTCACTCAAAAAGACTAAAACCTCGATGATAAACAACAAAATTATAACCACGCTCCGCCGTCCACACTGCACGCGCACAAAATGCAGATGGTTAGACGAAAACGAACGAAACGCGAAAAAAAATCCAAAGTTACCTCCAAAATAAACAATAAACCGCTGTTGTTCATAAAATACTTAATAAGATTATGAAAGTTTGCATACTAACTAAACTAACTATAAAGCAGTGCTTACGTGTGTGTATATATTTACTTTTTTTTTTTAAAATACCATTATTTTCACTGTAAAAAGAAATTACCTAAACTATTGGCCTCTTGAAGCGTGATTCCTGCCGCACGGTCATTTCGCTTCGGCCTTTGAACTCCGTAAAATGAATTCCGTAAAAACTAGTACTCTCCAATGAATTTGTTTTGTCTTTTGTAGTTAATAAACAAAAATTAATTTTATTGGCGAACTGATGTATCAGTGACAGGCTACTTGAAGCTCTGAAAAAAATAATTGCTCAGAGACGACTACCAAATTTAATCTGCACATTAAAATATCTCCACAATCCCAGTAAATATTACGCAGAGCCACCTTCGTCTATCTTTCCATTACCAGCCAATAACATTATTATAGAAGTAATAACTGAAATTAACGACAGATATTTTTCTAAAAGACAGAACTCTGATAATGACGAAGATGACATAACCTTGGTTCAACTTCAGCAGCAGCAACGCCAGCATCAGCAACAAAACGAGTCACGCTAGGTAACATTTGTAATAAGTTTTATAGAAGAGTTACAAAACGCGATATATGACACTAATTCCGCAACTCCTTTGAGGTCTATAGCAAATTTATCACATAGAGAAAAGTTAGAAACGTCAGTGCGAATGCAGATGGGCGCTATTTGACAGAGGAGGTCCCTAGACAAGTTCATTTGAGCCGAGCATATGACTTTCTCATGTGTATACCACTATGGTACTTGTAGATAAGTATAGAGTGTGATATGGTGTTTTCATCAAGAAAATATATTTGCAACCATTTAAGATGTGCTTTAAAAGATGATTCCCTAGATGCGCTAAGTTTCCTTAGGTCCCACTTACAAGGAGAACGTTAAAGATTTTTTTTACTGTAGAATATGCTAGCACTTGACGACAATCATGCTTGGAAGAAAGCAGTGGTGAGATACCTATTCACTTTTGCCTTGAAGGTACGGTTGTACGTGTAAGTGTAAGAATAAGCCAAAGTTAAATGATAAGATTAAATCGTATTTTTACTTTTGTACAATGTGGCATTGATCTGATTCTGATCTCATAAATTCTAATACTGATTAATTATTTGTATTCTATCACAGTTGAAAATCTTTCTTTTAAATCTTTTAAATTTTGTAAGTAAATTATATATGTTTGTAATGATTTAATTATTATATAAATATTATGACAATACTCAGAACTCGATTTATAAGACTGTTTTGATGTAATTGTGTTGTGGTCGTCTTGTTAAGCACCAACTTTTTATAGTTCTTTATAGGACTGTATTATGTCCATAACAGTGAAATTCCAAGCAGTTCTTTAATTCATAACTATGATTTTGTTTTGATTCAATGATATTAGATCTAAGTAAGAGAATGGCAATAAAATATGATTATTATTACAGCTTTTGTTTTTTCTTTTATTCGAATATTATTCGAATAATTCGAATAATACCCGAAAAAAAGTCGAATATTCGAATACCAAAAATTTTCGAATATTTGCAAGCCCTAGTCGTTGGCCATAAGAAATGATCAATGGACACAGGTTTTAATAAAACAAAAATAAATTATGTACGAAAACTGATCATTGGTTTTGTTTTCCTCTTAGTATCGCGGTACTTTCTTTGTACACCTATACTCTACTCTCGAAGGAGTGGTAGCTAGTCGCGAACGCAAGTGCATAAATCTGCGGTAGTTTCACATACCTTTAAATATTGGAGCTCTTCACTATTATACTCGGTAGCTTGATTGTTACTGACGCCATTGTGTTCTAATTCTTCATTATGAAACTTCTCATTAAATTCTTCCTTTAGAGTATTAAATTCCTAAAAGAGTTACATTAAAACATATACAATATGTAAAAAATGTATTTAAAACCACGTGACAAAATATTTCTTTAGATTTGCACAAATTATAAGCAACTGCATACTAAATCTTTGATCATTTTTATCAGTTATATACATATTATTATTTATATACAGTATGTTTATTATTTATATATGTGTGTTTTGTCTATTTAGTTAATGTTATCGGATTTTGAATGTTCTTATTATTCTTTGCATAGAGCTTTGTGCCTTGCATAGAGCAACACAGGCCACCAGCGGTCTAGAGGGGAGTAGCCATAGCGTTTTCCCCAAAAACTGAACAGTCAGGCATTTTTGCGGGCTTAAATCTGCGCGCACAAAAACAATTGTCTGTCACTGCGAAGCTCACACATAACAATTAAAATAATAAACTACCAATATCACACACACACACACACACATAGATACATTTATATACGATTATAACAATATCGCTTGGTGACGCGACAACTCGCATACAGACTGATCAGTCGCTCGACCGATCTGCATATTGTGTGAGGGCGAGGAGCCAAATCCGAAACGGTTTTGTTAACAGCTATTATCGTAATTTTTAAGTTTAAAAAGAAATAAATAGCAATCAATAACGTGACTTAAAATTATTCATATATATTGACGCAGCAAAGTATAAGCGACGTATCAGCGCAGTACTTAAACAATTATTATTGAGTTAAAAATTAATAGACGTTATTTCAACTACTGAAAGAACGTTATAACCTGATTTTTATAACATGTGTCTTTATTTTTATAATTAGTTGATTATTGTTACTAAATAAATAATTTAAAATGCTTTAATTCAAAATATAATTAAATGCGGGTGGTCGCTATAACAATTTGAAGGTAATCATTCTCAAAGCGCAGGAAGTGGCTTGCGCACATTTGTATTCGGTTTAAAAGGCGCACGCCAGCTGGGGCAGGATTCATTCTTGCTCGAGCTGTCGTGCTGTTCGGACTGTAAGATGAATTTGTGAACTATAAATTGTTGTTAATTGTGAATAATTTTTAATTAATAGTGATTAGTAGAATCAGTTAAGAGTAAATAAGTGATTTTTACTATTAAAGAAAGCAATAATGAGTGAAACTAGAAATCTCAATAATGACGTCATAGTTTTTAAAAACAAATATAAAAAGTAACAACTTATTTTTGTAAAATTTTCTTGGCATATATCTCTTTTGAAAAACTGAACAATTTGGCATTTTGTAGGACATCGATTCAGTCGCGTAACTAAATTTTGTCCAGAGCGCAGCGCGGCTGTAACTAGTTTTATTGTACACAGGACTGCGTCGATTTATACTTTGACAGAGGAGAACGCCTTCGTATCGCTACTTCCCTTCGGTCCGACGATAACCCGTGTTGCTCTATGGGGCCTTATAAACATCTTTTACGGTACGTTTAGATTATCGGACGGACAACTCGCGGACTTGTTCGTAGACAAGTACGAAGCGTTTACATACTCATCTATTCATGCAATGTAGATTTTTAAAACATAGACGAAGTACGTCTCGTTTCTATGACATTGTGTCTACTTAACTTTTATAGACTTCTCCACTAATATTTAATTAATGAAGTTGAAAAGACGGAAATAGTAAAAATAGTGAGTATTATGTAGAATATATAATAAAAGTAATTTCACTCTTGTGAAATTTTCAATTTCAGATGAACCGAGTACATACCAATTTATTAACATATTATACGAAGGGTGTTCAATGTATTCTCGGTACGCGTATGTTAGAAAAAAAATTATTTTTTATTTTTCAACATAGTCTCCCACGACATCAACACATTTAATTGTTCGTGGAAAAAGATTTTCTATTACCTTGAAAAAATATGCTTCGTCTTTCTTTGGGAGAGGGGGTCTGATACCTTTTTATGCCCTGCATAGACTACTGTTTACTCTGTCATAGTGGTGAACCCACGTTTATTCTCCTGTCAAAAACACTTGCTGGGTCATCACCACACAGCTCTAAAAACTCCCTACAACAGTCAACCCGCGTCTACTTTTGAAATTCTTAATTCTTTTAAGCATTCGTGGCACCCATCTTGCACTGACTTTTGTGAGGTAGAGATAGTCATGCAATATGGTGTGTATGGTACCAACGGATAGGTTAGTCATTTCTGCTAACATCTTAATTTTTCCTTGTGCATTTTCTAATACAAGTTTTTCAATAATTTTCACATTTTCTACTGTAACCGCTGTGATTGGCCCACCCAGGCAGGGGTCATATTCGATGCTTTCCCTGCCTCTTTTGAATTCACTGAACCACTTCTGTATAGTTGACATTAAAGGGGCAGTCTTGGTAAAAGGCCACGTTCTTCATGGACGATTTTTTTCAGTTTTTCCTTATTAAGTGAGGAATTTAACCCTTTAATCACCATAAAATCCCATGAAGTCGCATGCGTCCGTCAAATCCCGAGCGGTCGCATGCGACCGCACCCACACACAGCACTTTAAACCATTAAAACTTATATTTAGAGACTACTTTTCTATGAAGAAGTTTGGCATTATAAAATCTATATAAAATTCTCTATCCTGTGGTCTAAACAAAAGTCGGGTTTTACTTCATTAAACGGGTACTTACCAAGCGAATGTTGGCAGCGTGAAAATCACTATTATTTCTATATATTACTCGATATTATTTACTTAAAAAGATAAATTATATTTACACAAAAACTTTTATGACAATTTTATAATAAAACACTAATAAAATACTAGAAAAATGCAAAAATCAACACAACATCCAAATGAAAATGGCGTACGTAATTAACGTAGATTATAAATAAATATCCAAAGACTAACTGACTTTTTAGTGCACTAGAGGATAGAAATTTTCATATTAATTCTATAATGCCAAACTCCTTCATAGATAATCAGTCTCTAAATATAAGTATTTATGGGCTAAAGTGCTGTGGGTGAGTGTGGTCGGATCCGACCACTTGGGATTTGACGGAATATCGCCGTGGTCGGATCCGACTATTTGGGGTTTGAGAGGTTAATCACCGCACGGTGGTCGATTTTTTTTGCCATTGTCGAGTCGGTCATTTCCGTCATCTATGACAGAAGGTTACACAAGAGGTAGTTATCAAGACGAAATTTAGTGCTGGGATTAGCGGTGACGGAGATAGTGCGGGATGTGCTTTTCAAACTAGGTAAGACTCATTATTTTATTTCACCGAGTGGATATGGGCAAAGAAATTCTTAACAACTTTAACATAATGAATTTTTGAATTACCCACATTATTAGAAAATCACCCTAATACCAAAAATACATTGAACGCCCCTTGTATATTATCAAAGAAAGGTATATTAGAAAAAATTATAAGGGTAAATTGGCTGAGTAAATTCAAACAATAGTTCGCGGGACATCTGAGTAATGACGATTATGTTAACTCCGATACGAATACACACGAACTTTCCTTTGACTCGAGCTAAAAACCGACGTCGAGTGGAGAACAGGTGAATACTCGGGCCGAGTAGTGAGCACACCCGAACAAGGCGTTTACATGTTCATACTCGTAGCTATTCGTCTGAGCTCGGCGATTATCTAAATGTTGCATTATAAATATTAGTACAATACCTGTCAGGATTAGTATATGACTTATATTGTTTTACCTGCAATATCGATGTCTTCTGGATCACACACCTATTGTGCTGTATCTAATCAGTTTCATTACAACTCCACATATAATAATTATAATGCTTACAAGATATTGGATAAGAAATAATATACTGATCACCATAAATACAATTTTAAAAATAGATTAAAAGGTTTTATAATTTTTATCAAAGTAATATAAATATATTCATTTAAAATCAACAACAAATGCGTAATATTGTTAAAGTAGTAGATATTTTGTGAAGTTTTAATGATATATCACATAATATATTTTTAAGAATAAACAACAACTTCTTTCGTTCTTTCTTCTTCGTCATTTTATTACCAAAAATGTGAATCAGTGCCTGGGATTCACTTATTTTCAAACTATATAAAAATTTTAAAATAGTTTATAATTTTGAATATGAGTTACTATAATATATAAATTTAATAAAATGTGGATAAATTTATATCAAATAAAGCAATAAATATAATCTATGTATAAGCATAATCGTAAAGAATATAAAAAAGAGGCACGAGATAATACCATACTTTACAATACATTTAGTATACATGCAATTAAAAATGCATGCATATTGCATAATGTAAAACTGACAGTTTGATTACAATTACCATAATTTTAAATTAGTTTTTTTTTTACACAGAAGTCATTGTTTTTTCAATAAAAATTCAAATTTTGATACATATAACATAAATGGTAGCTTGTAAGGAACAAGTCATTGGCTGTTTGGAGATCATAAAGTTCTTTACACACCTGTGTCATTTTTTGCCAAGTCTCGATATTTTTTCTTTGCGGTTTTGTGAAATGGTCCCACACACGCTGATGAGTTGCTGCTATAAACACTTTCGCCACCTGTTCGACTGAGTTTCACAAATCATGTTAAGAGCATAAATGTAGACGCTCGACCAAACATACCATCGTGACTCTCGTGACTGGCAGCTTCCCGCTCTCAAGAGATATATACGTTGTTCATTGGCGAAGATTGTATCTACCTAGGCACGGGAGTGACGAGTTTCGTAGCGATAGGAACTCACCTCACCGAGCAATGTCGGTTCACGTTACAGTGTGTTACACACAGAGGGATACTTCTGTTTTGACAACATAAATTCTTTAACGAAACTGAATATAATTAAAGAGTATTAAGAATAACTTTTTATTTTAAATCAAAAAACGAATGTATGTTAGTCAAAACATGTAACTTACACTTTTTGTCCAAATTGTATTATGTCGCAATCTACTACATTCTGACATAATACAATTACGTGTTTAAGCGTGAAGACAGCAGCCCATACTGTCCGTCTGAGAATAACTTCGCAGATATGAGCAGACCAGAGAGACAAGAGCAATAAAATAACATATGTGACAAAATTACCTAAAGCTTGAAAGGATGACAACTTGTTTGCAAACAAGTATATACAAGAATATAAAATTGTGTTACTGTTGCACTCAAGTAGTCCACAAAGAGCAAATAATATGTCAACCTTTCAAATCAGTAGGTTCAAAATTATTGCAACTTAGCAAATAATGCACTCACGTTGTTCTATGACATTCTGAATATTGTTTTTCACTCTTTCTTTGCATTCTTGCAGCTCCTCTTCAGACTGCATTTTTTCATTGAACAGTCTACGAATGTGCGAATTTGTAGCTTGGATCATTGAATAGAATTGATTTGAATATTTTTTTGAACATTCGCCACGTTCCAACCAAGCTATTAGCGTCTATAACAAAAAAAAATATTTTATGGCCAATTTTCTCAACTGAGGAGGGGTCTAGTAGTGGGCATTCCTGGATATGTATACACATAAAATTTGTTGTTTCTTGCGTCTTGGGCGGGCGAAACTTTTTAATTTACATGCCGAATCCGCCCAAGTAAAAAATTATGAGATTTTTGTCTAATAACTCATTTTATTATGATTGATTCGTTATCAAAACGACCTGCAGATATTGTATGATTTTAGAAAAGGACAATTCTGACCTATCATGCCAAACCCGCCCATGGGCGGGCAGTACGCGTATTCAGAATTAACAAGCCTTTTGTTAAAATTTTTATGAAAAACTGTAATTTTAGTAGAACTAATAACAAATAAAGTATATTTACATGTAGTGATATAATATAAACTATTGTTTGCACCTTATTATTAAAACTATAAAAACATAACAATATACAAGGTGTTACAAAAAAGTGCGTAATCCTTTTAGTGAGTGATTTTATTGCTCAAATCCAACAACTTCTATGGGACCTATATCGAAATCTAAAAAAAATGGCTTCCCCATACAAAACCGCTGATAAGTTGAGACGAGTTTGTGTGGAGAAGTATTTTTTTTTTCAGATTTCGTTATAGGTCCCATAGAAGAAGTTGTCGTTTTTGAGCAATAGAATCACTTCCTAAGAGGAATACCCGCTTTTTTGTAACACCTTGTAGATAAGGCAATATACTGTCGGTAACTAGAAAGCAAGATAAGAATGCAGATAATGATCTACATAAAAGGAGCCGATCGGTATTCGTCACTTTGAAAATAGACAAAGTGCCAACACCTTTGTTTTGGTCATCAACCATATACAATTTTTTGGTTTGATTTATGATTTAATTTTGGCTAATGACCTATTTCAGATTATGGTTTAATACATAAAAGTTGACAAACTGTCAATAAATAGGAAACAAGATAAGAATGCAGATGGTGATCTGAACAAAAGGAGCGGGTCAGTAAGTCACTTTGAAAACAAAAGAAGGGCCGATACCTTTTATTATGGACTCCTACAATTTTACAACTTACATTATATATGATTTAACGTAAGTAGCATATTATAGAAAAAATAGTCTACGGAAAAAAGCTTTCACTCGCATCTTGACATTCATGGTTTTCACAACTTGAGTTTTACTGAGTGTTTTGGAAGTTGGTTTGCTGTTTGATTTAGTGCATCAAGTTGAGACTATATCTTCTGTCTAATTCTTACCAAATGTAATGCAAAAGAGGTACGACATGGAAAGAAAATTAAACATACAAAAAGGTTGACTATGCATGACTTGAAAAAAAGGCCCTAAAGTGTATGCTTTTATATTTCATATTAGATGTCCTTGTATTAATACGAGCTTAAATCTATCTTAAACGCAGATTAAGATACATTTGTTTCGTATTAATTGAATTAGCTGAAAGTTTTGAAACTACCGAAGGGCGGGCCAAGATACTTTATCGAGATGCCGAGCCCACCGATGGGTGGGCTGAATATCAGTATCAGGCAGCACGGGGGTAATGTTGTCATTTCTTAGGAAGACAGTGAATGGGTTAAACAAACAAGAAACTTACAGGCAGTGAACTTGCAAAATGTTCCTCATTCTTAATTTTCTCGGCCAGTTGGACAACTGCAGCATTGGAAAATGGTTGAATTCGAATAGGTAATGGTGATCGCCTATAGTTCATTTTACAGCTGGCCTCCTGTTGTGCAGTCAGTTGCTGCATTTGCGCCTGTTGGGCACGAAGAGCCTGGCGTTGTTTTCTCTCATACTCATTTTGATCATCCCGGCTCTAAAAAAACACTTGTTAGAACTTAATTGGAATAAAAAAAATGTTTTCAAAAATTCAATATTCTTACCAAAGCATAGTCAACATGTAACCAGCCATTTGTTGCATGGGAATCATCTTCATCTTTATCCTTATCTTTATCATCCTTGTCCTTGTCTCTGCTTATAAGTTTAATTTTGTATCCTGATATGGCCATAGCTGCATCAACACAACTCTCCCTATCAAAGCGGATATGACAAAAGTTTTTTTTAGAGAGTCTTAGAATTTGGATTCGGCCATATGGTTCAAATATTTCTCTCACTGTGCTTTCACGGATTTTGTCAGGTAAGCCTCCTATAAAAATTGTACGACAACCAGGAGGACGTTCCCTCCGCGGCGGTTGTTGAGTTCCTGGGTCAGGAGGAGTCAACTTGCAGTGTTTGAGGACTATTTCTTTTTTTTCATGCATCATTTCAGAGTTCATGTTGGAATACATGGCTAGCATAGTAGGATCCATCATTACACCCCCCATCATACTCATATCCATAGTTGTAGTTCCTGTTGTGGCTAATCCTTGAGTTCCAATAACAGACATATCCATAGAAGTTTGTGGCATCATTTCCATTCCAGATCCAGAAATCATCTCCATGCTAGTGGGCTGCATCATCCCTGCAGTCATCATAGCATTAGGTATCATCATATTCCCATACATTCCACTGGCCATTAACATGTTGCCTAGAAGAAAAAAAATTTATACTATTACTATTTAATCAAAATTAAAATAAAATTATTGGATTTAAATAATCAAAATTTTCGGATAAATTGAATCATATATTTGTATGAAATGATAATCGTAATTCAGAACGAAATTACAGAAGAATACAAAATAGTTATAATACTAGATATTGTACAATTAAATATGTAAGTTATTTTGTAATTGTGACTCCACTAGCACCATTGATAATTTTAATAATTTTTTATCATGAATTAAAAAAAGCTTATTTACTCGATTTTTTTAGAAGAGAGGGCAAACGAGTATGGGGCTCACCGATGGTAAGTGACTACCGTCATCCAATGTACATCTGCAACATCTAAAGAATTGCAAGTGTATTGCCTGACTTTAAAAAGGTGTTAGCTCTTTTCTTGAATATGCCTAGCCTAATTATATGACTTTCGGTACGGAAAAGTCGTTAAGGATAGCAGACTTTACTAAGTGCGATGATGCAAATATCTAATAAATTTCAAAGTTGTTAACCATCAAGCAAACACATGGTGTGGATGGTATTGAGAATTTTGTCACAATGTATGATAGTGGAATTTGACAATTGGAATTAATTCGACCAATTACTCTGAGCAATGCACATGGTAAGTGCAATAATAAAAACAAAGATATACAACACAGCGCCAGTGAATCATGCTATCTGCATAAACTCAGTAGTCGACTAGTCAGACTGCACTTCGCTGGATACCATCAAGTGGAAAGAACTGGTGCTGTAATACCTGCACAGAAATTTTAAAAGTACCTAATGTAAATCTGAACTTGCCTCTCGTAAAATTGTATGCTGGCATGAACATGAAGTATAGCCCCACCCTACTATGTACACCAAGCTTTTTAGAGGCCAGTTTGGCTTTTTAGAGGTGTCTGAAGTTTAAACTGGGCTGATTTTTATTTATTGTGTTATTCATTACAGCCCATCCCCATAGATTGCTTCATAGAGGAATATTTTCCATACAGGTTTGCAACCAGTTTTTTTTTGTTGTTATTGAGTTGAAGAATGTACTACCCAACTCCTCTTTTAGTTCCCTTCTGTCATTTCTTACAAGACACCCATTTGATGATATGTCTCAAATAAATAAGCCAGTTCTTAAAGCATGTTATTTATTTTATACTGGTATAATGATGGTTCATTGTTAAGATGAGAAGTGAGAAAGTAATGATGTGACACTTATTTGCATTCCTCTAGGAGTAATATAAGGCATGCCTTTCAAGTTTAGTCATTTGACCAAAAAAAATACAACTAGAACCTCAAAGTACTTTTTATTGTTTTTCAAAGTATTCACCACATAGTTATATTACACTTTTCCATTCGCTCGAACCAGTTATTAAAACATTTATTCCACTCATGGGGGTGTTCAATATCACTTTGAAAGTGTCGACTTTTCGATTTTTCTTAATTTTAGGAAATGCAAAGAATTTGTTAGGTCTTAGGTCAGGACTATATGGAAGATGGTCAAGAATTTCTACTTTTCTCTGCTTCAAATGCTCAATACAAATGTTTTTAATCTAGCTCCATAACCACAAATGATTGGTGGTTTTTTAAATAAGCCACAAGACACCATAAATTAGAGCCCCAATACCAAAGTGAGAAAAATCTATCAAGAAGTATTTCATGGCCTATCACTTATTTTTTGGGACTCTGTTTGTGTATAAGCAAATGGTAACAACATTGTAATTTTGTAAAATAAAAATAAAAATGTTCCTATTGCTTTTTTACAAGTAGACAAAGCTGTATGATGATGTATTTCCAAGAGATGTTTCACTTAATAATAAAGATAAATTAGGATATTACTTTGTACATAAAGATGCATGCGATCAATTATAATACAATACCTTGTGAATACATATTTGGCATCATCATTTGAGTCATAACATTTGAAATCTCACTATTTTTACTTGATTCTTGATGTTTGTCTCTTCGTCGTCCAAAACTGTCTCCTCTTGTAGGGGACCGAGATCTGTCTCTTCTGCTTCCTGTCAATGAACTTTATTTTAATGTTTATATTTTCTACATTCTTGTCAGGAGGGTCGGAATGGGTTTTATTAGCAATGGGCATTTTTGATAGGGTTATTTTGGAAAATTTTAAACTATGAGATTGCTGATGCCTCATTTCACTTAATAGCACCAAAATTAAATAGACAAATTTGCATTTTATTATATGCAATTTTTAATGAAATTCATTTTTATCGTAATTAATTTAAAAGGTATTTTCGAAATCCTAAAACAGTTTGAAAATTTCAAGCTTAAGCAAACCACCTAAATTGCAAACAAAATTAAAATATCAAGTACTGGACATCTGCTTCTTTTCTGATTCTTTTGCTGCTAATTAACAATATTGTTTCATAATTTAATATCATAATGACCTTTCTATAAAACTTCTTATGTGAATCAAAAGCTTGTGATCATACAAGCGGTACTTCATATAGTCAAAAAATTGTACAGAGGCTATGACCCAATGGTAGTAAACTTTAATAAAACTGCACTAGTTTCTCTACACTCATGTGCTGGGCAGTTACCAATTACCAAACCATATAGAACACAATACTGACAATGTAAGACTGACATTTTAATAGTGTAAGTAGTTTATTAACAACTGATATGGTCTCACCCCAAAATTCATACCAATGTCTATACCAGGAGTGGCGAACCTTTATGTATCAAAGTGCTATTTATCTAAAGAAAGTTTTAATTAGGTAATAAACGTGTCGTAAAATAATTTTGACTTCGTGATCATGGGGAAAATAATAGTACTAAATACTATCTACTTAAAAATCTTTATTTACTACAAAAAAAAAACAAAGAGTTTTGAGTTGAGACATTTATTACTAAACATTACAAAATACATTTTGCAATGTATAATAATAAATAATTCAGTTATAAGCGTAATTAAAATTAAAATTAAAATAACATTAGTGTGACTTCTGTTGTATTGAGATTAGATGACAAATAAGTATGTTATAATGGGGTTGTGAAATCCTTAATGTAACACAAATGAATTTTAAAATACAGTTGTGTCAAAAAAATTTACTAGTATGATGCTATGCGTAAACGAACTATGCATTCCTTGGAGGAGGCGTGGGCTTGTGATCGTGGATAGTGAACTTTGTAGTCGGTGGCGTGCCCAAAATATTGTGTCGCGTGCCATTTACGGCACACGTGCCATTGGTTCGCCATCCCTGGTCTATACAAAATGGTTATCCTCCTAATGATAGCTTACAGCGCACCAGTATAGTGAACTTGTCATACAAAAAAAAACTTGATACAGACTAATAGCAAACATACTATCAAAAACTCTCATCAGGGAGTAAATTATTATAATCCTTGGCTAAAACTAAACTTTACATTTCTTATAAGACAGGTAACAAAAATTTGCCATACAAATCCAAGGAAGAAATAAAATACGTTGGAAACTTTTAATTTAATGCGCAGGAACTAATTTTTAAAATAGTTTTACTGGTGCTTGTTGTCTCTTGGTAAATATTTAGATGGAACCTACGAAGCACATGAAATTACATATACAGTTTTAATATTCGGTGCAGGGGTAGACGGGCACTAAATGGTATGTTACATTTCTAAATAATACGAAATTACAAAAAGGACATAAATATTAGATTGAAATAGATTAATCAGTAAGAAAAAACAAACATTTTGTTCACAAATAAAAAAATGACGGAAACAAGTTATTACCTGACATTATAATATGAACACAAAGAAAACACTATATTGTGTAATTATATACACTATTTAACTAATTAACTCGAGTACAGTAACTTATTAACATGAATTGATTACAATTTACAACTAAAAGCAAAATAATTGTTTTACAGGTGCTTGTGCTTCCTCTAGGGATGTCTATCTGAGATACGATGTGAACCGGTTTCATGAAAACCTTTAAAAAAACCGGTTTTTTTAAAAACCTATAATCACCGGTTCTCATTGGCAAAACCGATTACAATCACAAAACATGTATCCTAGTCTTTGATATGTATCCGAACATGATTCTGTTCTGTTTAAAATGTTGTTTATGGTAGGGAAATTCCCCGATATCCCATTTTAATATGCGACTAACTTCACTATATTAAAATATTTCAGTTTCTGTTTTGCTTGCGAGTTCTTTAGAGTTAACAATATTTCTTTGCAAATATGCCTAAAGTAAAAAGTAAATCAATTACCAGAAATTATTTTGAAAAGATTGATAATGTTAGTGCAAAGTGTAAGCTATGCGCTAAAGTGATCAAAGTTGGAGGAGGAACTTCGAATATGTTGGCACATATTAAGAGAAACCATCCTCAGGCTACAGTGGAGGTGGATCGAGGTCAAGTGGGTGATCAGCCAGGTGCCACACAGGCACAGGAAACATCTACTAGCACGACACAAGAAAAACCAACGGATACTCCGCGCCCCATATTTCAGACTACTCTGAAAATGACCTCATCAAGTAGCAAAAAGAAAATCGATAAATATTTGACTATGATGATCGCCACGGACTTTCAGCCGTACTCAATTGTTGAAGACAAGGGTTTTAGGAAGCTGGTTGAAGCATTGAATCCAAGCTATAAACTACCAAGTAGACAGAGGATCAGGTATGACCTAATGCCAGAACTTTACCAATGCGCAAAGTTACAGCTTGCTAGCATGCTTGAAAATATTAAGAATCTTGCACTCACTGCTGATATGTGGTCGAATCAAAACATGGATTGTTTCCTTACTGTCACAATACATTTTTTTAACCAAAACATTTTAAAAAGCTACGTATTAACTACATGTGATGTTCCAACTTCACACACAGGCGAAAATTTAGCTGAAATTATGACAGATTTACTAACAGAATGGAAAATATTAGGAAAAATTTCTGCTATTGTTACTGATAATGGTACTAACATGGTGAAGATGTGTAATTTGCTGGGAATACGGCACATGCCGTGTTTTGCCCATACGCTTAATTTAACTTTGGACGATTCTATGAAGTTTTCTCAGGTGGAGGACATAACTAACAAATGTAAAGCCATAGTGAAATTTTTTAAGAAATCATCTGTAGGTTGGCGAGCGCTAAAATTAGCTCAGAAAGAAAGAAACCCCGATTCTACTCCTTTGAAGTTGATACAAGAAGTATCTACAAGATGGAACAGCACATTCTACATGATGAAGAGAATACTACATCTAAGTGACATTCTCGCATTGGTGTGTAGGAAATTAGATCAGGCGCCAGACTACTTAACTGCTTCCGATGAAGAAGCAGGGAGAGAAGTTATCAACATTTTGGAAATATTCGAGGAAGCTACAAAACTCGTCAGCGCTGATCAATATCCAACTAGTTCACTAGTTATTCCGTTAATATGTGGACTATTTTAATTATTGACTATTTTAATAATTATTTAAATAAATTGAACACAATAGAAATTTGCCTAACAACAGATATAGGCAAGATGTTTCACTCATCAGTGAGGCGAAACATAAGTAGCAGACTCTTGGCATATGAGACAAGAACTGTATCCCAAATGGCTACATATTTACATCCAGTATTAAGAACAGGATTCCGTCACCCGGAGAACATGCAGTCGGCTAAAGAGTTAGTCAGGAAAGAATTATCCCATAACTTAAAAGATTGTGCCGATAGCTCTATGCCATCGACTTCGGAGCAGCCAGGTAGTAGCACAGAACAGAAAAAACCTGGACTGCTAGACTTCATAAAACAAAGAAGACCCAATACTAATTTAACTGCTTCTGCAGTTAATATTTTACGAATGTATTTGGAGACAGATCCACAAAATGAAGAAGCCGAGATCACAAAAGCAGCTGAAAGTGTGGGAGCTTTTTGGTCCAGCAACAAACACTTGGCGCCATTAAATACAATAGCGCTAAAGTATTTAGCTATACCAGCCACATCGGTACCTTCAGAGAGGATGTTCTCTAAATCAGGATATGTATTGTCCTCTAGAAGGAGCAGGCTACAAGCAGATGCTGTGGACCAAATTTGTTTCATAAACCAAAACTACGATTTGTTAGAAACAGGCAAAGTATAACATTTAAATTTGGTAATTACTTATCTGATCGATGACCACTTCCTTTCTGTGATTGTTATTTTACCTCATTATTTTAAGAAAAATAAATAATAAGCCATAATTCAAAACTGGTATTTTATTAGGAAAAACCTTACTATCTTGACTCTGGTAAGTAATAAGAAACAAATTTATAAATATTTAACCATGATGATCGCTACTGACTTCCAGCCCTATTCAATTGTTGAAGACAGGGGATTTAGGAGATTCACAGAAGTTTTGAACCCAAACTATAAATTACCAAATAGACACAAAATCACTTTCCGCCGCTTTTGCAAGTCGTCTGTACCTCCAGAAAGGATGTTTTCGAAGTCAGGTTAAGTGTCTTCAAAAAGAAGCAGGTTGCAAGCGGATGCTGTCGATCAGATCTGTTTTCTCAATCAAAATTACGACTTATGCGATTAGTTATTTTCAAGTTAAAGGTATTTTGATTTTAATAAAGTAGATTTAAAAAAAAAGATTAGAGCTTTTGTTCTTTCTATAAAAAAATAAGAAAAAAACCTAAAAGTACCTTAAAAAACCGGTTTTTTTCTTAACGTAATCGGTTTAAACCGGTGCTGAAAATTGTAATCGGTTAACATCACTAATCTGAGATCGATTACCCGAAGAATCGATTCCTTGTGCTGAAAGATCGAATTTTATATCGATATATAGTACTGAATCGATTCAGTTAATCGATATTTCACCCTAGAAAATTGAGATCGAATCTTTTTCTGTTTTTATAAGAACTGTAAAATGGTTTACAATTAGTTGAATGTACCCACACTCGTAAAGAATGACAGTTTTTTATTCAAAAACTCACAAAACTGCTGTGTACTTCAGTTTCTTTCGTATCTTCTTATTGGATTAAAGAAATAACGAAGAATTTAAGTTTGTAATCTATACTTTCTTGTATATTTTGATAATGTGAATATAAACTCTGAAAGCATATCAACAATATGACTCTTTTAGACATCGATTTTTTGTAATCGATTCATCAGATATGGACTTGAATCGATTTAAAATTTGATCTTTTTCGGAAACAATCGCCATGGGTTGATGCATCAGCGTCCCGGGATGTAAACACCAGCGCTCTAAAAAAGAAGTATAATTCCGCCTCTAGGTCCTTCAAAAGAGTCATTGCCAAGGCAAAGTCAGAGCACATTGGCGGAATTGGCGAGAAACTAGTTCGCCTTCCTTCTGGAACCCGTGCATTCTGGTCTCTCGCCAAGGCTGTCCAAGGGAATTTCTGTCAGCCATCTCTTCCATCTCTGCACAGGGAGGACGACTCACTGGCCCATACTGCAAAGGAGAAAGCCGATCCTCTAGGCTCTTTCTTTGCGTCTAACTCGACTCTCGATGACGGGGGAGTACGCCGCCGACCATCCCGCGGTGTGAGTGCTCCATGCCGGAAGTGCAGTTCACACAGCGCTCGGTTCGCAAAGCACTCCTCTCCCTGGACATCCACAAGTCGAGTGGGCCTGACGGAATCCCCCAAATTGTGCTGAGGACGTGTGCTCCAGAGTTGGCACCGGTTTTAACGCATCTTTTCCGGTACTCCTACTCCCTAGGCGTAGTCCCAAAATCATGGAAGACAGCTTTCGTCCACCCGATCCCTAAAAAAGGCGACCGCTCAGACCCGTCCAACCACCGGCCAATCGCCATCACCTCCTTGTTCTCCAAAACAATAGAGTCCATTGTAAACTGCCAGCTCATGAGGTACCTTGAAGATCACCAGCTGATTAGTGACCGCCAATACGGTTTTCGCCGTGGTCGGTCAGCTGGTGATCTTCTGGTCTACCTCACTCACAGATGGGCGGAGGCAGTAGAGTTCAAGGGGGAGGCATTGGACGTTAGTTTGGACATTGCGAAGGCCTTCGATCGGGTTTGGCACAAAGCGCTTCTTTCGAAGCTCCCTTCCTATGGGCTTCCCGAGAAATTGTGCGATTGGATCACCAGATTTCTTGCAGATCGGAGCATCAAGGTCGTTGTAGACGGTGCAAGCTCCGATTGCAAACCTATTAATGCTGGTGTTCCACAGGGCTGCGTGCTATCGCCAACGCTGTTTCTTCTGCATATCAATGATATGTTTCATACCCGTAGCATTCATTGCTATGCAGATGACAGCACTGGTGATGCTCTTTACACCGGCCGAGCCAATATTTCTCGGGAAAACGTCACCGAGTGCCGGGACAAACTTGTGTCTGAAGTCGAGTCTTTCCTGAACAGAGTCTCGGATTGGGGACGATTAAATATAGTCCAGTTTAACTCCCAGAAGACACAAGTTTGCGCGTTAACCGCTAAAAAGAACCCCTTTGTCGTATCCCCTCAGTTTCAAGGCACTCCCCTTGTTGCCTCAGCCAGTATCGGAATCCTCGGCGTCGACATATCGAGTGACGTGCAGTTTCGTGGTCACTTGGAAGGGAAGGCCAAATTGGCCTCTAAAAAGCTTGGCGTGCTCAGCAAAGCGGGACAGTATTTCATGCCGGCACACCGCCTGCAACTTTACAAGGTGCAGGTTCGGCCGTACATGGAATACTGTTCCCATCTCTGGGCTGGGGCTCCCCAGTACCAGCTCCTTCCACTTGACCGCATCCAGCGCAGAGCGGCTCGAATCGTCGACGACCGAGTGCTTTCCGATCGGCTCGATTCACTGGCGCTGCGAAGAGATGTTGCATCTCTTTGCGTATTTTATCGCATCTATCACGGGGAGTGCTCTGAGGAATTGTTCGGATTAATCCCAGCCGCCAAATTTCGTGAACGCACTACACGGCAAACGTCCCGATACCATCCACACCATCTGGATGCTTGGCGGTCCACCACTGTACGTTCCACAAGGAGTTTTCTTCCACGTACAACCTCTCTGTTTGATAGTTTACCACCGGCGATTTTTCCGGACCGATATGACCTGGGGACCTTCAAGAAAAGAGCTTACTTCTTTCTAAAGGGCCGGCAACGCACCCGCAATCTCCTGGTGTTGCGGTTGATCATGGGCGGCGGTAGTCACTTAACATCAGGTGAGCCGCATGCTCGTTTGCCCCTTCTTCTATATAAAAAAAAACCCTACTTTCTGAATTCCTGAATTCGTGATAATCTTAGACATAGAAATAGAATACCTAGCCCAGTAATCTATGGAATAGACTTATAACCACAGACTGCATCTCAATTGTAACTAGGAAGCTAGAAGATAACAACATGCCTGCTGAATATGCAGTATTACTCAAACATTGCCTCTCATCTGGCGATCTATTGTGGAAGGAAGAGTTCTATAAGCAAGTAGATGGTGTGGCGATGGACTCACCTGTATCTCCCATAGTCGCCGACATATTTATGGAGGACTTCGAGGAGAAAGCCCTTCTTACTGCTCCTGTAAATCCAAGATTCTACAAGCGGTACGTAGACGACACCTTCACAATTTTACCATCTGACAAAGTAACTGCATTTTTAAACCACCTTAACTCTATAAACTCTAAAATACAATTCACAATGGAGTTAGAAGCAAATAATTCTTTAGCTTTCCTAGATGTTTTAGTCATTCGAAATCCTGATAACACTATTGGTCACATTGTGTATAGAAAAAAGACCCATACCAACCGATATTTAAATGGTGAATCTCACCATCATCCTTCACAGTTAGCTACTGTGGGTAAATCTTTGTTTCAGAGAGCACGAGGGATCTGTGACAGAATACGTCTGGCCGCCGAGCTGCAGCATGTCAAGCAAGTGTTGCAAGACAACAAGCTTCGGATCCCGCGCCTACGTCACAGTGACCGAGTGAAGCCATTCACTCGGTCCCTCTACAAGATGCAGGAGTGTACAAGTTAGATTGTGAATGTGGTCTCTCTTACATAGGTCAAACAAAAAGATCCATAAAACCCGCGTGAAAGAACATATAGCTGACGTGAAGCACCGACGCTCCGGGAAGTCTGCAGTCTGTGAACATGTTCAAGATCGTCCCCACCATTACATCAGATTTGATAAACCACAAATCCTCGCAAAAGAATACTGATTCCTACCAAGGATGATACGCGAGGCTATTGAAATTAAAAAACATCCTAATTTCAATAGAGAAGATGGTTGGGTGCTGCCATCTGTTTGGGATCCTATAATTAACAAAATTAAACCCAAACCCAAGCATACCACTGCAAGGCTTCAAGATACTGTAAGTTAGTTTTGCGTAAATCGGACCAAAAATTAATATTCAAAAACGTAGCCGGGCTAACAATGAAATTGGGACGTCAAACATCACAGTCCCCCCCCCCGTGACCATGGTTGCTGTAAAGCACCCGAAATGTCGGAAATTAAAAATAAGTAAAATCAGTTAAATAAACGCGATAGAATCCGTAAATTTAGTTTTATTCAATGCGTAGTGTTCGCGTAAATTTAAGAAATCATTACATTAGAGATGGGCTGAATATGGATTTCACCGAATACGAATATTCGGCCGAATGTTCGATAAAACTTTTACCGAACCGAATATTCGGCCGAATTTTATTCGGTAGGATCACCTCGGTACATAACCAATTTATGTCAAAACTTGTTACCGTAAAGTGCGCGGGATTAGCGCCGGTCCCTGCCTCTCACTCCCCCGCCACACCTGACATGTTATTGCATTATTTAATACTAGCAAATTACCGATACATGCTTATGTTTTGACTATTTTTGTGAGAAAAAAAAGTAATTCCTAGTGTTTTTCTTAATGAACATGGATAATTATGTGATGAGAAATGAGTTGTAAGATATATACCATTTGGACTGATAAAGTGAAATGTACTATGCATAATCACCATCATCATCATTACAGCCCTTCACAAGTCCACTGCTGAACATAGGCCTCCCCCAAGTAACGCCACAAAGCACGGTCCTGAGCCACCTGCATCCATCGACTTCCTGCATGTCTTAACAGGTCGTCACTCCATCTAGTGGGGGGTCGCCCTACACTACGCCTACCGGTCCAAAGTATTAGCTATCTCATTTACGCAGAT